TAATATTGTAGAAACACTGAAGGACGAGATGTGCAAATATTACTGGTAAATCAGCTAAGTCACAAATCAGATTTATCCAATTGTGTGCGAGCAGGTGTCCGTGTGTGAATGTGCTACTGCTTCAATTACAACAGGGTGTGGCCTTCTTGAGTTTCTCCATCTAGTCGTCTCTCTCTCTGGGCGTATCATGTGACTGTACCAAGGTTATATGTCCCATCCACATTGCATTTCTCTGTTCCCTCCCCACCCATGTCTCAGTGTTACTACTCACTATATGTGGGTGTGGTCCGGATTCTGTGATCTGGATTCTCAATCGCCTGCTTTGTCCACTTGCTATTAAATTTGACTCTGTGTGATTTGGTTTTGTAAGAGACCGATAGAGAGGGAGTCGGAGAGAGAGTTAGTGTGTGTTATGTCCTTTATAGCTCTGACCTTTCTTAACCAGTAAAAGAGACTGCAAGATGACTTGACATTTAAATCATATCTGTGAGCTGATCCATTACTGTCTGCTCTGTATTTTGTTCACTCTGCTATTTGTTGACACAAGTCAGGCGTAATTTATATTGTAGACTAGCAATTTAGCCATTACCAATATTTATAGGAGCCTACCTATAGCACTATGAAGTGTAAATCAGTTGTCTTGTAGAGCTTGTTGGTTGATTTATGAAGCCCACGGGTTTGTCACATACCCCATTCCTCTGTTGAAGCTTTCGAAAACCTTCTAAAGTTGCAGCAGTCTTTCTGTTTAGACCGTTGTTTTTTTAACTGCCATTTAAGCACAAACACTTACACCACCTCCATTAAGAACCCTTCAACAGAAAACTTATGGTTTTGGATTTCGGCAGGTTGTAAAACTGCTGGGTTGATTTTCTCATGTTACAGTCATGTGGTGCAGGGTTCAGCTGCAGTTAGAATCAATATCCCGAAGGGAAAGGGTGAGCTGTGTGTGTGTGTGTGTGTGTGTGTGTGTGTGTGTGTGTGTGAAAGTGTGAAAGTGTGTTTGTGCGCACGCATATTCTTCGAGCTTCAGTGTTGGCACTGCGGACTTCCTGTTGTTGTCTTGAGCATAAATTCTATAAAAAATTTTCCTTAGGTTTCCGTATGAGTTGTCTCATGGTCTGAAATAAGATAGTGAAGTGAAGCCCGGGTTCCAAGTGTTGTTTACTACAGCTGACGGTGACCAAAACATATAGTACTATTCTGTAGAGGTCCAGTGTGGAGTCGAGTGAATCCATAACTGTGTTTTCATTTCATTATCTACTCAAAATAAGAATGTTTTTGTTACCTTAGAGCCCTTTATATCTACAGATGCTGCAGGTTGCCTTCCAAGCCATGTTGAACCACCATGTTTCTGCAGTAGCCGAGAACAAACAAACCAAACACTGGCTCTAGATAGGACCTTTCGCATTTTTCGAGCTTTTTGTAGCTCCGTAGCTTCTCCTTCACAGTTGGAGGTGCAGGGTGACACTGATCCTTTAAAGGAATAGTTTTGGAATATTTTGGGAAACACGCTTATTGGCTTTCTTGTCGACAGTTAGATTGGAAGATCTATACCACTGTGATGTCTCTGCGTTACATATAGAGCTGGAGCCAAGAGTTATTTAACGTAGCATATAGGGGGTAAAGGGGGGGAAATAATTTCTCCAAAGCTCCACAATGTAGGTGGTTAGGCAAATTTGTTTTTTCTTTTACTGCAAACCCAATCTAACGATGGGAACAAATAAAATAACCTTTACCTTGACCTTGTATTTCATTTTATTCAATCCATTTACAGGGACTCATGTCCCAAAACTATTTCACTTCAGGTGCTGTAACTTGCTGGAAACTATTCTTTTAAGCCTTGACATCTCTATAATAAAACATAATTTCTCAACATAAGAAGTTAATTAAACTTTTCAGAACTGAATCTTGTTTAGAAAAGAATCTACTGAATTTGCTGTACAGGAGTTTTCTCATCCAGTAGCTATGGCAGTGGCCCTAGATCAATCAGTGCTGCACTTGTGTCGATAGTAATGGAAAAGTATTAAAATGTGGAAAGCAGTTGCGTCGCTTTGGATTTGCCTTATAATCCACTCTTTTAAAAAGTTGCTGTTGATGTTGTTACTGCACACTCACTTACCAGGTTAGCATGAGCCTAATGCATCACTTCTACCAAACAGATGTAAGCACTAATGAAAACATCATTTCCCAGTAAGGGGCATTTGGGAGGGGGTTGAAAACTATGGTCATAAAAGATGCAAGGGCTTCAAGAAGTCTAAATGAGTCATCTTAAACAGAAAGACCCACCTTCCATTAAATCTCAGATGCATTGTATACTGCCAGACACTCATCACTGGCAGAACTCCACTAGTCAGCACTGTAGCTCCATTATCAGGAAGACAAATCATCAACAACAACAACAGCAACATCCAAGAACTGAAAAACAATACGATACTAGCTCCCAGGAGCAGAGGGATGGCTTAAGGAAACAAATGTTTTTGTATGTTTTAGGTCATTTATTTTAAATGATTTTCTTTACATTACAGCTAGCTATATGTTCCAAAGCATATCATATAATCGATTAATGCATTTCTCCAACTTCCCAGGCAGTCACTGGTTCATGTGAGGTCACGTCAGTATGATATGAAAATAAACTTGCAGACAACATTGTGTTAATTTGGTAATTTCTCACTTCAAAATGTCTACAAGCAAATCTACATTCATAAATGTAAATGTGTGTGTGCACGTGATGAAACACATATACAACACCTGCATACACATCCACTTACAATTTGAAGCATATGAACAGGCTCATGAAGAGATGTGTGCTGGTGTCTGCGTCTCCCATATCTGCCTATCATAGAGTCCTAATGGGCCGTATAAAAGCCTTTGGATCTATAAAATGAAAATCAGACCATTAACCCCTCCCCATGTATGAGATCCACTAAACAGAAACAAAAGCTCGCATCAAGTCTCTATGGTGCCCTCCCCCCTCCCCCCTTCAATGTAATATGACTCCTAAATGGCCACTAACACACACTTACACTTAGTTTTTAATGTATTCACCTAATCCTCATTATCTTGGAAGAGTGATGGATGGGATCAATTGAGGTCAGTGATCACCCTTTGCTTATGTATAGACACTGGAAAGTTAGTAGAATAGTATTAATAAAGACATACTGTGTGCGCACACACACAACTGTAACAATATCACAGTAAGAACAGTTTCAGGCTCAACTAACATGCGGATCAATAAGATTATAGATTCTGTCTGTTAAATCTGAAACTCAAGAAGTCAGGCAATGCAGTAATTTAGATCTGCTTGCATTGCACAACCTACTGTGTGTTATTGGGATTTTCTTTGTGTTTGACTTTCGATTTTTAGGACTTTAATGGTCCCGTGTGTAACATTTAGAAGGATCTATTGGCAGACCGTGATTCTACAGTAGCCTTTAACGGACTAACTAGACACTGGCTGTAGATAGGGCCTTTCACGTTTTTCGTGAGTTTCGCGGCCACCGTAGTTTCTCCTACACACTGTTTAGTTAGTTACAATCTAAAACTTCACCACTAGATGCTACAAAATCTTATACACTGGTCCTTCGAAAGATTAGATGAGACATATAATGTGCACATAGTTATTCCTAGGAAGCGAATAATATGCATACAATATAAAGGACACTTTTGATTAATTTTGATGGTATTTAAACACTGATTAATTAATTAATTAAATAAGTAGATCTAATGAATTCTTTATTTTGTTTAGAATGTCAGTATTAAAGAATAATGATGCAAAATGATACCAAAAAAAACCATCCTCTATTTACTATGTTAATACAAAGATTAATAGCTGTCGCCTTAAGAAAAAAAATACCTTATTCCACATTTCACCAGCAGAGGCTGCTAGAGGAGCAGAGCACATCCACAGAAACGTTCCTACAGCAGGATCATTATGGAACTGAATGAAGCACTCAGGCTTTATGCACCCGAGTAGAACATTTTAGACTGCATTACAGTGTGCAGTGATTCAGCAGATCTGTCCCATTCACGGCTACTAGAAGAAAGATATGTTGCTGATGTTGTTGTGGTGAAAACATATCAGGCAGAATGTGTGATCAAAAATAGAGGTGTGAGATCGTGTCCCTGTCCCTGGTGCTGAAATTTAAAACTCTTAACATTAGCTGCATTGACAGAGAGAGACCTTGACACCCGTCTACTGGTGGCACACACATACACGGACGCACGCGCGCACACACACACACACACACACACACACACACACACACACACACACACACACACACACACACACACACACAAGCTGTCAAATCATATTCCATCAGCTACCAGTACCGACGATGCAGTGCAGTTGAGATTCAGACCGACCCACTTCCCCCCCCATGCAGGGGGAAGCCTGTAACTTGCAGGTGATTGGGAGCCACTGTTCTGTGCTCCCTGCTCACTAGTCCCCCTCTGGACCGGGTGGTGCCTCCCGTCTTCTCTGCTTGCTCACAGAAGGACAGCCTGTACCCAAGTTCACCCTGTTTTTCTTCCGCCCTACTCTTGTTTCTCTTCCTCTCAGCTGCCCCTTTTTTCATCCTCTTCATTATTGCTTTCATTTATTTAATAAACTGTTATATTCATGTCCTCTTTTTGTCCCCAAATACCTCACTCATCTGTATTGTCTTCTTCTTTCTGTATTGTAGATGTATTTTTTTCTTCAGAAATCAAACACACTGTTGAACCCACTCATGTCCAATGCGTTCATACTTACTCCATTTTAAGGTCTTTCCACAAAGACACACAAGAAGACCATTAATGTCACTGATTTTGCGATCATGTAAGTTCACAAATCCCCTAACATCTCCAAAAGGTTTAGCCTTCAACTTGATCTGTGAAATGAACAGAAGAAGATGGAAAGCAATGTACAAAACAAAAAGGAAAAAAAAACATTATAATGTTTAGCTAAAATAAGACACATGAAAATACTACTAATTGTATGACATTGTTTACTGACTCATTTGGTTCTTTGGTTGAACCTTTGCATATACACAAAAGTTGATTTTCATTTCTACCTTGCTGCTCTTTTATGGAAGCGCTGGAAACACTGGATAATCACAAAATGGTTTTAATATTCACCTTATTTCATTCTGTCCCTTTAGTCCAACCCATCTCCCCTCCTCACCAATTAAACTTCCTTTTCAACTCATGTGTCCCTCTTTCCCTCAGGATAGACTGCACTTTCACAGCGGTAGTAAGAGAGAGAGTAGTTACGGCTGTAGCAGTCAGCTGGCTGTTGGCATGTAGCCTCCCTAAACCCCTCACACAATAAACACTTTTCCTATGACTGTAGCCCACATACACACACACACACACACACACACACACACACACACACACACACACACACACTCTCTCTCTCTCACACACACACACACACACACCAACACGTTTTGTAGCCACATCTGTTCTCTTGGAGTAGGGTTTTCATGTACATCTGGACTGGGTCATTCACTATGTTTGTGTGTGTGTGTGTGTGTGTGTGTGTGTGTGTGGGATATGTAGTGAGTAAGCGGATGGGTCTTACTCTCATCATTCAGCAACCCTTCAGTCATTGTCCCTCTCTCATGTTTGTGCACATGAATGGTTAACTTTCAGTCAGCATATATGGACATGGGGACCTCTGAGCATTTTGTGTGAGAATGTGAAAATCCAGTAGCTTTTTCCTGCGTTGATTTGGATGGATAAAGGCTGATTTTCCACTTGAGCTTTCTCCTAAGAAGAGAGAGAAGACTGATGAGAAGAACTGAAAAGCAGGGAAACTCTTAGTTTGAGACAGGAGGATTTTTTGAGCCAATCCATGGTCTAAGGAATTTTGTTTAGTTCAAAACACTAATTTGCTATGTTTAACTGTATGTGGTGCTTAGTGTTAGTTAAGGACGTATGAAAGTTAACTAAGTGTAACTTTACTACCTAGTAAAAAAATGTTTTGAGAGGTAGAAAGGTGAAGTCATGGCCCATGCTGCAGCCCACCTGAAGAAAGCTCGAGAGTTCGAGCAAAGTGTCGAGTACAGAGCTCTACAGAAAGCCAGGGAGAGGAGGAGACGGCAGCGCGAGAGAGCCGAGCGAAAGCGGCAGGTAAAACACACACAATCCTCTGACGAAGTCATATCCTCAAGTTTGATTCATGCTACCATTTTGATTTCCCCAACACATGCCCCCATGGGTTCAAGTGTATGCTGTTGGTGTTGGTGTTAGGATATTGTGTGTGGGAGTGGGTTGTGGGGGTTGCACAGATGTGTATGTGGTTGACCAGTTACAGTGTGCTGTGGTTTGCTGTCCTGCTGTCCTCTCAGATGATTTATCATGTAGGGTGAGGGAGATGGATGATGGTGGAATAGATGACAGATGTGAGAAAGGCTCAAGCTCAGAGGGAGGTCACATGCTGATGGTATCAGACGTTGTATGGGGCAATCTTTTGGTGATATTTAAAATGAAAGAATATGTTGAATATGAAGTAGAAATTCATGGAGAACGAAAATGAGGGGAGTCAAAAGAACAGACAGAACAGATGCTTCTACAGTATTTTAAACAATCCAGCTGTTTACAAAGGCATTATAACTGCCTGTGTTTCGCTCATGCTGGAAGATGAGGCTGAAATGCCTCCTGTTTTTTGCTATTGTTACTTGGAGTTTAACCGTAAGCACTGATGTGTGGTGGTTTAACTGTTAAGTGGAACCACATTTCAAGTATTATATTATTTGTATTTTCTGTGGCTGTGATGTAAACACAAATACAACTAACACTTGAAATAAAAGAATGTCTAATCTACTCAAACTTTGTGAACTGTAAATAGTACTTTATATAATAAATTACTTCTGAATACACTAGGTGGCACACACTCAGGTTACTTTATTTGAATCAAACTTGTTTGACAGCTCTTGTTCTCATCAAATTAATATTGTGTGAGTATACTTGGTATGATAATGCAGGCCTTGACAGTGGTTTTAAATTACCGTAAGTGGCCTTGTGTGCACATAAATGCAGCTGCTAATGAGATGTTTATGATACTGAGTAGAGTTTTGATGTTCCTCCGGTGTAAGCATACATATACATTTGGACAGAGTACTGTATAGTGTATAATCCAGTATCCTCCAGTACATGATGAACTGCAGGTCAAATCCTGTAAAGATAGAGAGATTACAGCTGGTTCTCAATCAATCCAATCTGTGCTTATGTGGGGGTTTGCTTGGCGTGGAGACGAATGAGAGACATACTGAAACATAGACAGACAGTACTGACAGTGCCTTCTGTGTACTACTGCATTCAGTGTAATGTTTCTGGTTTTGTTACCTGTTTGCAAGTCTGTTATGATGTGCATTTGTAATTACAGTCTGAAGAGGCATATAAACTTGTTATCCAAATTTTTAACCAGTATCTGGGATATTCTGCAACCATGGCTGTAAAAGGATGTGCTGTTTTCTGAATGATGAACAATGTGTTTTGCGTAAGGTTACAGAAATTTGAGTGCTGTGTTAAGGCTCGACTATCATTCCACCATGACCCCCGGCGTTCCTGGAGAGCACCGCAGGCCATGCGGTCTCCAGCTTGACTCCATCCCCAGCTGTCACGCACCCCACCCTGGGTACACACAGCAAGGGGTTGTGGTCTTCACTGGAGAGAGGGTCTGGAAAGGTAAAAATAGCCAAGGCTAGAGAGACAGTGAGGGTTTAGTGTTTATGGCTGCAGTTGTTATCCTACAGAGAGAGAGGAGAGGTATAGGAGGAGTAGGCATGACTGGGCCTTGGCTAGACTCAGTGCACACCCTAAGACAGAGGTATCCAAGACTGGATGAAGAAAAGGAATAAAAGGGCACAGAGAGGGGAAAAAGTGGTGGTATTAGTAACGTAAGTGAGATTTAATGGATGTAAGATTGACTGATGCAGGCAAGCAACAGGAAAGTGCGCTGGAGAGGCTTTTAACCTAAGGACGCAAAGTGAGAAACTGCAAGGAGTGGACTTTGGTGGAGCATATGATAATAGCAAACAGTGAGTGAAGTGAAGTGAGTGAGGAAAGGCCACAGTTTCATCTTGGGGAATTATTACCTGATTTGGATGGTAACCATGGGCAATGCAGCAACATGTAAAGCATGTGGATCAGATAAAACTTGTAGGAGCAGTGGGAGTGACAAAGATTCAAACCATCACACGGACTACTACGGAGCAGCTGACTCTGGATCTGACGTTGATGATTCACTGGTAAGAGGTGGACAGAAACACGGTTCATCAGCTTTTCTATTACATATGTTGCACTGAAGAAGCGCTCTTTTCTGTGGGGGTGTGTGTGTGTGAGACGTCTGACCCTTGACCTTACACATGGTTGTGGCCTCATCCCAGACATGCAATGGGGAGTTTAATTGTGCTGACCTAACAAGTTAACACCCAATGGTGTTTGACTGATGTGTTACTGTCCCACTGAAAAGGTTAAAACCTTGTCAATGCTCATTCAGATTAATGTAGACCGTATTCTTTTGTAAGAGTAGTGTGTTCATGCGGCACAATAAAAGCTCCAGACATTTTTTTATGTGCATTTTTCTCAATTTTCTGACATTTTTACCAGACAAATAGTTGAATAATCAAATAGATTAATGAGTAATATACCAACAGACTTTATATTGTACATTTTCAAATATTTTGGACCCTTATTCTTCTTAGTGCAACTTTAAGATATTTGTTTTTGTTTTTGTATTTTTCTTACTTGTTACATTTAAAAAATATTTAATTTACACTGAAATGCAAAATGTGTCAGCTTTGATAATAAGGTTCAACTGTAAAACATCCTCCCTGAGTATACACTGTGAGGAGTTCAGTGACCTTTAAAGTCAACTTTAAATTCAGTGGATATCCTACATAAATGCAGCAAAACGTGTTTGTGTGTGCGTTTGTGTGTGTGTGTGTATGTGTATGTGTATGTGTGTGTGTGTGTGTGTGTGTGTGTGTGTGTGTGTGTGTGTGTGTGTGTGTGTGTGTTTGTTGCAGCTGCTTGTGCAGTCTTGATAGCTGGTGGTTAAATTTAGAATAGCCTACTCAGACAAACTATTGATACAAGCAGGAAGTCTGACTTCCATAAAATGATAAAACCCTCTCTGAACCCTCTGCATTAGCCTTTTACATCAGATAAACTCCCATCATGCACAGCAATAACAAGCCACATCCATCATTCTAAACTGACTTAATTTTTTAATGTGGATTTGAGCATAAATAGAACTAAGAGATGAATCATGTCTGTAAAAACGTTGGAAACTACATGGTCTGAAATATTTTTTTGTATTTGTGTGTGGGTATACACAATATATTTTGTATAATAAATAGAGTCTGGCCTAAATATGTTCTCTAACTAATCCTTACTGTTACCTTTATACGTATTCCACCTGTACCAGGAATACCAAAAAAAAGAGACCTTAAGAGACTTAATGAAACCGAAACATTGAAAACATACCTGTATTCCTGTTCCTTATGTTACTTCCTTTCTGTCTTCATCTGTTTAGTCCGACAGTAACACCAGTTTCCTGCGGGCTGCCAGAGCTGGGAACATAGACAAAGTCCTGGATTTCCTGAAAAATGGAGTAGACATCACCACCTGTAACCAGGTAAGAAAAATTGTCATGCTTTTGGATAACTGGGTTTTTGTTATGAGGTCTTGATTCAGATTATAATATTGACTGCTTAATTTTGTAGTTGCATCTAACTAAACATTTATGAAACACATCTAGGATTCAGTTCAGTTGCGTGTGAGAATACTATGTTAACTATCAAAGCAGACTAATTGATTTCCAATTTTATCCGGCAAGTGTTGACTCATTTTGAACATTATATATGTAAAAGAAAACAAGCTGTTTTATAGGTAAGTAAATCAAGTTTTTGTTTTATTTGAGATATATGTGTTTACCATGTCTATACAACAGAAGCTACAGAAAATATAAAAATTAACTAGTTTACTACACTTTATGTTTTTTACAGTTTTGAATATTAATTACAACCACATCGGGTCAGAATTGGCACACCAGAAATGTTTGCTTAAATCGGCTGTTTAATGCTAGTAACATACATACATTACGTGCTACTGTGACAATAGTAGGTCAAAGCTTTTAACTGCTGTCTGTCAGGCCCGCTGAAGCTCACCTTCAGGCTGCTGTGTCACGGTGGCATCACACAACTGAGCTAGGTCACCGCATACCATAACCTGACAGGTTGCGCGCTATCTCACATCATAATAACCACATCTACAATTAGTGCCCTCCTCTTCCCTCCTCCACGCCCATTCTTCCCTCCAGTCTCAGCTATATTTGAGGGCTCTGTGTCCCTCTGACAGCTGTTCTTACCCCTCATAGTCACCCTCACCCACATTCCACGGAAGGAAGAAGGATTGGGCAGGGTGCAAAATACTTCCCCCTAGATCTCTGTTCACCCTCCCCCTGTCCTGTCAATGTTAACATGATTTACAGTAGTCACAAGGTAGCTTAAGGGAGCATGGGAAGTGTGGCCATGTGAGTGTGTGATGTGTGTGGCCGTGTATATAATCAGATACTCATATTTTGTTCTGTCTCATTGTTGTAATTTTCCAGCAATTTATTAGCAGCTATTTATACACTGGGCTGTAATTGGTTGGCAGGCCGGAAGTGGCCACTGCCCACCCATAGCTCTACTATTTGTTGTCATGGGCACTGTGGGTTTTGTTTTGTCCACCAAGAGGGAAGCCACACACACACACACACACACACACACACACACACACACACACACACACACACAGCTCTCTCCCTGCAACAGGAGAGTCCTGCCCTTCATAGTATCTGTCAGGGGTCAGATGATCACACTTGAGCCCTTGTCAGGTGACTAAAAATGCAAGTGACATTTTCATATATATCCCAGTGATGCACTCACTTTGTGTGTGTGTGTGTGTGTGTGTGTGTGTGTGTGTGTGTGTGTGTGTGTGTGTGTGTGTGTGTGTGTGTGTGTGTGTGTGTGTGTGTGTGTGTGTGTGTGTGTAAAAGAGAGAGAGTGTTTCTGAGAGAGTGTGGCCAATATACTGCAATGTCCTTGATGTAATTTTGTTAGGGAGTCACACGAGATACAACTCAGCTGTGCAGTTAATTGTAGCTCATTTTACTTTGTATTAAATAACTGATCACACACACGCACATACATAGATACATCAACAAAGACAAACTTATTCCATTGTTATTGTTATTGTCAGAGGCCACATTCAAATTTACATTACATGAATGTCAATCTATTTGTGTGTGTCTGTTTCTGACTACACGTACTTAAATGCATGCACAAGCTTATACACATACATGCACACATTCCTAAAAGCCCAGTACTTATATTCCTATGCAGGCATGTTTGACAGTGATACTGTATGTAACTACCAGTCACCTGATACTTCATCATTACATACATATATCATTATGATAATATGGTCATGGCTCCACTATCTATTCATTTAAATCATATTCACTTCATGTGTGTCTTTCAGTTGAAGAGTGTGGTCAAAATAAAAGCACACAACACCAATGTCACTTTCTGATCAAGGTGTACGATTGTACTTAACGGCGGATCTGCCACATGTTAACCAGATGAATTGTTTGCATTGATGGCAGCAGAGGAGTGGTTTCTTACAACACAGTGGTATGACCACCCTGACTATGCTCATTGGCATTTGCCATTTGAACTATAGTAATATTTTCAGGGAAATACCAATTTCCACAACCACCACAGTGATAGGAGATGATCATTCATAAGTATCATGTTACCTGTTATTAGCAGCAAAATTGCTCTGAAGGAAACGACTGGATGTGAATCATGTCAGTGGAAAAGCACTCCACACAATTACAGAGCCATTATCTGTAAGAGTGCTGTCAGCATTGCAGTCAGTAGAGTCAGAGCTCTGTTGATAAGAGCACTAACAGACATGTAATTATATAAATCTAAAATATCTGGTCTGTTTAATTGGAAGTAACAATCTACAACACATCTGCAGTGACGTTAGATTTAAACAACCTCATATGTTCCTAATTAGAAATTGGATTTGTGAAACTCACTCAGGCATTTATAAATATCAGCACAGTGCTGTCACTTGGATTAAAATAATACTGTTAGTTATAGCATGGATCATGGGGGAACAACATCCCATTTTCACAATGGGTGTGTTACAGTTTGATATCCACAATATACATAATTATTTATGAATATTGGGAGACTTTTGAGTGTTCCCTTTGCCGGTGTGTTCATTAATAACTCAAGAGTAAGATCCTAGAAAGCAGCAACAGGGTGGCGAGGGCCAAAGTACAGCGCCAAGGGCAGAAAGCTGTCCAAGTCAGTTAAAGAGAGGGAGAGAAATAGATACACTCATCCTGTCGGCCAATTCCACACTCAAACTATTGCACAGATTTTATGAATGAGATAAATTAAACACCTTCTTGACAGATAACTTTAGCTCCCAGATTATAGGTTCTTGTTTTTTGTTTATAGGCCTAGTGTATAAGTGTGTGAGAGAGAGAGTTTCTTCCACATATGTGTGTTTGTGTATGTGAGCTGTTTCATTTCCATGTCCTTACAATTAAAGGCCAGACTTCCCCCTCTAATCTCCCCAAATGTTAATCCTTGGTGAGTGATATTACTCTTTAATCTGCATGCATTTACATTATGTCCTCTTTTTCCTCTAACACTCGCCCCCTCTGGTACTTTGGCCTATCAAACAACACAAGATAAACTCTTTTCATCATGTGTGATTATAACAAAGGTCAGTGGTCATAGGGGCGTAAATGTTAATCTGCGCTGGACAGGACTCTCCCTCCTGCCAGGAAGCACTACAAAACTGCCAGGGATCACTGCGTTGGGCTTTATGTCCATTAGCTAAATGAAGCTTTCACTTACAGCTCAGAGAAAAGGAGATTTAGATCAGTTTGTGTGTGTGTGTGTGTGTGTGTGTGTGTGTGTGTGTGTGTGTGTGTGTGTGTGTGTGTGTGTGTGTTAGTGTGTGTGAGAGAGAGAGAGAGAGAGGCAGTTTTGCTTGTCTCTCCTGGAATACATAATGGTTGAAATGTGATTGAAACGCTCTAATAAGATTGCATAATTCTTGCTGTGTCATTGAGTCCTCCATTTCAGAACCGAGGACGGAAACTTTCTGAATGTTCAAGCCGCAGCAAAGAGCACCTAGACTCACATTTAGAAGGTTGTTCATCTCACCTGTTGCAATCTGCAGTGAAAATGTCACTGATTGAAGTAACGTGACTTAATGATTTACTGGAGTGATGACATTAGAACCATTGGCAGTGCAACCTGACAAACCTCAAGAACATCCTCCATACCAAAGTATGAGAGCATATAACCACACCCATCATCTGATGACTGTGCAACATGGGATGACGGGTTGCAGCATGATGATAATAAAGACGATCTCCATAGGGATAATCAATCAGTTAATTGATCAGCAGATCAGCAGAAAATGTGTTGACAACAATGTAACTGACTAATTGTTTTGGTAATTTATCAAACAGAAATGTTAATGATTTACTAGTTACAGATTCTTAAATGTGAGGATTTGGTGCTTTTTTTTTAAAACAAAATCAGCAATTAAAAAATGCAACCTTTGGATCTAGGAAATTATGATGAGCATTTTTTTATTTTTTACAATTTAATGAAATTTTATAGACTAAACTATTTATTATTAGTAGTGGGAAAAAAATATAAATAACAGAAAATAACAGTTAATTGCAACTGTAGTCCATAATAATGGGCTAGAGCTATGAGGCTGAGAGATGAAGTTGGTGTGATTTTGCGTTAATCATTTAGTTGTACTTTTGATAAGGGATGAATGGTTTAGTAATTTAACAAAAATGTCAAATGTTTGCTGTTTCCAGATTCTCAAACTGGAGAATTCTCTGTTTTACATAATTGTACAACTGTAAGTTATTTATATATATCTATATATATATAGATATATAGATATATATAACATAAATATAACTGACAGACTGATAATAAAAGTAATCGTTAACTGCAGCTGTGGTACGTAACTGTGACCAGGATGAAAGATTTGAATTATGAGTTCACTTCCAGTGTTCTTCACTCTGCAGGGGTGAGACTAATGTCAATAGGCAAGAATAAGATTTGTTGAAATAGTTCTTCAGATGACTTCTTGCTGACTCAGATTTGGTCAAGAAATTTAAGCATGAACCCATCAAAGGGCCATTTGTGCTTCACTAAGTTATCTTTTCAATTACAATACTTTCTTTCATTAGAAACTATTTGCATAAAGACATCAATAACTTTTTCAAGTATTTAATTCTAGGACATCATGGCTTTCATTTTTACCATTTAAAGTCATGTCATATATCTTCGACACAGTCACTGACTTGACCAGACACTCACTTAGATACTTTGGCCTCTGAGGAGTGCCCTCTTTTTTCTTTTTGAAAGGTTGACATTTTCAGTAGCTTCTAAATATGAGTATCCATGTTTGTCTGTGTGTGTGTGTGTGTGTGTGTGTGTGTGTGTGTGTGTGTGTGTGTGTGTGTGTGTGTGTGTGTGTGTGTGTGTCCTACATACCCTCTATGACTGTGCAGAAACATGACACCCCTTTGGCTGTTTGGCATTTGGCTAGCCAGAGAGACAGACAGAGAGAGAGAGTTTGTGTATGTGTGTGTGTGTGTGTGTGTGTGTGTGTGTGTGTGTGTGTGTGTGTGTGTGTGTGTGTGTGTGTGTATGTAGGTGTGTGTATTCATTTGGTTATTTGTGTGTGAATGCATGTTGGGAGGGAAGGAAGGGGGCAATGATAGAAGTGTTAGCAGCATAGCAGCTCCTCTTTTACATCAGTGCCAGGAGAACCTTCAGAGCCAGAAGCCACAGTTCCTCTCTGTAACCCATCTGATAGAGCCTACGGGGGGAAGAAGAAGCCAGACAGACCCAGAAGCTTGGATCTAAACTAGGGGAGGGGAGGGTGGGAGGCAGAGGAGCGCTGTTGATGGTTGGAGCTCCATCACTTCTAAATCCAGCTTGGCAAACTATTTATGAAGTCAAAAGACAGAAAATAGCACCAAAAAAAAGACTTATGAAGGAGCGCAACGCATAGACAGGAAAGAAGAAAGAGAGAGTTTAACATTTGGTTTGAGAAACAGAGCAGGGGACCTGATCGAGGACGCCGTTTAAAATACTTTCTAAGTTTGCGCGTTTCAGAGAGACACACAGCGCAGGATGGAAGAAGAGGAGGATGAGGTGAATCATTCCTCTGTGTGTCTGTATATTTCTATCTCAGATTTCCTCTGTTGCGTGCATGTGTGTTGCGTAAATGTTGCGATTGCCTGTCAGCATGAAATATTTACACTCTGCTCTCCTCCCTAAACTGTAGCTCTGGTTGATGGACCAGAGGCCTTTGATTTAATGCTCATGCCAAAATCTGCCTGAAGGAGATATTTTCTCTTCTCGTACTTTTGTTGTTTATTAAACATTTTTAGAACTGTGAATCAACCCACTGTGAGAATTTATTTGATCAACATGTATGATTGATTTGAAAGTTATTTTTTAGTGCATATTTTACACGCAGAAACATTTAAATCTTTTTTATATTGTTATCTTGTTGAAGAAACAGTTCCCACAACATATAACATTGTTCTAATGTAATATTAACCCCTGGCCTAAATGTTCATAAGATGAATACAATATAGCATAATTAGATAAGATAATAAGACATTACATTATACTGTAGACTTCACAGTGGGAGTATGCATTTAATGCAGGAATACTGTATTTCAGTGCACTTATTGATGTTATTGTGTTCACTCCCTGCATATTCTGCCTCCTATAATGTATCTTATGCAGGTGCTGTATTATATATATATATATATATATATATATATATATATATATATATATATCTCGCTCAAGCTCTATGTTCTGGAGCTTAATACTTGTAATGTAATTCTATATGAACCACTCAGTTATGCAATAATCACACGACCACCTGTTTTCTTGACGTATCATGTTGATGTTTTCTTTTTGTTTTCTCTCCAGAATGGTCTGAATGCACTACATCTGGCAGCAAAGGAGGGACACAAGGATTTAGTGGAGGAGCTGTTGGAAAGAGGAGCACCTGTTGACTCTTCCACCAAGGTACATGTACACATTTATGTTATGTTAGTTGTTGTTATGCTTTATTGACTTTTCAGATATGAATATGTGACAGTTTGATCTTTAGCCGTATATGAGGGGAAGATGTGGAAAAACAAGAAATGAGGGAGGGAAGTCAGTGACAGCTGGGTGACAGAAAGAGAAAGAGGGAGATGAGTGCACAGGAATGTAAGTATATAGTGGTATCAGTTGTACTATGTAAATCAATGCTTCTCTCTATGAAACTTGATTCACAAGGATGGTGGTTATTTAGGGAGAAAGTCACATGAAAAGAGTTACATTTTCAACTTTATATATTTTCAACTTTATATATTAACAAGACATAAGACCTTATGTGTGTTTGTAGATTTTTTTATTAGATCTTTTTTTGGTGTCTTTTTGAATTTACATTGACAGTAAAACAAAATTAGAATCAGCTTCTCCAAGTCTTCAGTTTTGAAAGAGGTTGCAGATGATTGCATCATGATTAGATATTCTGCTTTTACTGGAAAAGGGAGGGGGGGTTTAAGCTACTTGGCAAGCTGTTCGTTATGTGACTGTGAATGCCTAAAGTGTCAGGTTTAACATCCAGCAACAATAAACAGCTGGCAAGGAATCTGTCACCCGGCTTCCCATGTCCTTGGATTGACATGAATATGGCCTTTGATATTAATCGAATAATATCCTTCATGTCCTAAAAATAAAAACCGATGCAAGATCAAAACATTTGTCTATCAAATACGCAATCTAATATAGAATATAGAATATAATGCATTGCAGTAGATTAAACTACCCAACAGTATATAAAGAATTTAAAATCAGAGTTACAGGAACCATTTTTCTGCAAAATGGCTTCTTTTACTTTTAAAAAATCAAGTAAATTTTGCTGATAATACTTCAACCAGCTCTGATTTTTAAGGTGTTTATACAGGATACACACTTGGCTGGTGGCCTTAACCCTGTTTTTCTCTACAGAAAGGAAACACCGCTCTCCACATTGCCTCACTGGCCGGTCAGAAAGAAGTAGTCAGACTACTGGTGAAGAGAGGAGCAGATGTCAACTCTCAGTCACAGGTAAGAAGCTTAATGCACCCAAAAAGTTTGTAACACCAACACCAAGAATATGATCTTACATTACGTGTGTGTGTGTGTGTGTGTGTGTGCATGTATGGACTGTGTGTATTTACATATATTTCTCTACAGAATGGCTTTACTCCACTCTACATGGCAGCCCAGGAGAGTCACTTGGAGGTGGTGCGATACCTGTTGGAAAATGAAGGCAATCAAAGCATTGCAACAGAGGTAAGTTTGTGTGTAAAATACCTGTACATGTGTTGAATTGAACACATTATGAAGCTAAATACTTTATGTACTAATATCCCTGTCTTTCTTACCTTTTCACTAAATATATAGTCTTTCACTTTTTTCTTGTTTCTTCTCCGCTCCTTCCAGGATGGCTTCACTCCACTGGCCATCGCTCTCCAGCAGGGCCACAACCCAGTGGTCTCCCTGCTGTTGGAGCACGACACCAAGGGCAAGGTCCGCCTCCCAGCCCTGCACATCGCAGCCCGCAAAGATGACACAAAGTCTGCCGCGCTGCTGCTCCAGAACGACCACAATGCCGACGTCCAATCTAAGGTGAGCGAGGGCAACAGGAAGAAATTGATGGAGGGGGTAGAAGGGTGGATCTGGAGTGCCAGACGGGAGTGGAGCGAGAGATAGAGGGAGAATAAGAACGGAAAGGAGGGGAGGGTGTAATTACAAAATGGGAGAGACAAGGAGAAGTTGAGGGGAGGTGGCAGGAAGACTGAGATAATGCATCTGACTGAATGGATAATTTTTCATGTTGACAGTTTTATTCATTTTATCGATTATTTTGTGTCCATTTAGAAATATAATAATAGTAATGTACAGAGTTGTACTTGTTTGCGTTCTTTTTTTTTGTTCTCTATTTGTGTGACCTTGTAAACTTACCCTGTGTTTAACGTGGCTGTTGTGATAAACCCTTTCCCTAACAAACCAATACCCTATTCCCCCTTTCTCTCTTTATGCGTCCTAACCAGATGATGGTCAATAGAACTACGGAGGTATACAGACTCATCCCCTCTTCATTTAATTCCTTTTTGTCATTTTTGACCATCTCTTTCAGCTCTTTTGTCCCGATCTGTCCCTTATTTAACAAGGACTTGTGAAGTCCTGCATGTCTGAATTATGAACCATTAATATGAATGCATGCAGCTGACTATGCTGTACTACACACTCCTGCATGGCTGACAGTAATAGACATTTTGTTGTATTAACAGATCCCAGAGAATCTTCTTCTATTGCATTTCAATTATAGATTATTTGTTTTACATTTCTGTATCTCTTTGTGTATACGTCATTATTTTAACAAATTCTTTACAGATTTTTAACTGAAACACTGACATCATTCCAATAAAATTTCACTTCTTTGTTTATTGCTCTTTTTCTCTGCATAACCTACAGCATGTGTACTTTTAAGCACATTGATAGCATTGTTTTTCCTCTTTGAAAACACGTTGTTGATCTTTAAGTTAACTCTGTTTCTTAATTAAATTGCACCATGTCTATCAGAATGGGAAGGTAAGGAGTAAACCCACCTACAACTGTGTACTGTAGATATTTATATATATATAGCTTATATATAAATGTCAATTTGTCTGTCCAAGTAGATACACATAGTGCGTAGTTGCTTTGTGTGTTTCAGTTTTGGTTTTTAATGTCCATTGTGTTAAACGTTTAGTGTCCAGAAATCAAACTGCTTTGATTTTTTTCACCAGTTGTTTTTTTTTTCAGTGAGCATGGCAGAATTACAGGGTTTATTGCATGCATTATGTATTGCATGAGCTATTTTGAGGGTATGCTCATTTTTTATGCTTCTTCTTACACTGACGTGTCTGGTTTCTTTTTTCAGCATGCTGCCTCATTGTAATACTGCTTCAGTAGAATCAGGCTTCTTTTCTGTATCTGCTACAGAAAATCTGTGATTCCTTCCTTCCTTCTTTCTTTCCTTTCTCTCTTCCTCTCTTCCTCTCTTTCTTGTACTCGTTCTTTCTTTCTTTTTGTCTCATTTCATCTAACTTTGCTCTTCTTTTGCAACTGTTCTCCTTTTCCCTCACTTGCTGTTTCAAACAATCTTCTCTTTCTACCTTTTTTCCATCTTCTTTTCCTTTCCTTCTCTCTCTTTCCTCCCCTCCTTTCTCCTCATCTCTCTCAAACAGAGTGGGTTCACTCCTCTGCACATCGCGGCTCATTATGGTAACGTGAATGTCTCCACGCTGTTGCTGAACAGAGGAGCTGCTGTGGACTTCACAGCCAGGGTAGCGACCCATTTCCCCTTCTTGGCTTTCTGTACTGCTGTCTAATAAAACTTGACATGTGTTTTTACATTGAGACTTGCAGAGCAGTGTGTTTACTATTTACCATAATAACTTTCCCTTTTAATCATAGACTTTATTAACTGCATATTCCCTTAGCCTGTCAAAGGTTACATTTGTTCTTGCATGTTTTCAGCTAATTCCTTGAGATTGGTACATGAAATTAGTTTTAGTTTCTTTAATACAGTTGGGTAGTTTCTATTATTGCCCTCAACTCTATTATTAAAACAGATTCTGGGACATTTCCATGTGATGTGTACTTGGCGTGGTAATGTCAGCTCCCAATCACAACCATGAATTATATTTTTGCTATGTAAATTATGTAAACTAGTTGTTTGTGGTAAAGTTCACTTTGTTTTCTTGCCTTCCTTGTCAGAATGGGATAACGCCTCTCCATGTGGCCTCCAAAAGAGGCAATACCAACATGGTGGCCCTGCTGCTGGACCGAGGGGGTCAGATAGATGCTAAAACCAGGGTGAGATTCTCTAAATAGTCCCATTTCTGCAGCTACCCCTAGTATCTGCTTACTGTAATAGAATATACCAACCACTGGGCAATTACCTTTTTTGTCTAAACAGACAAACTGGATTCATGTCTACACACTGTATATATTTACGTGTTTGCGCCTGTGCACGTGTCATTGTCCTGCAGGATGGGCTGACCCCCCTGCACTGTGCAGCCAGAAGTGGACACGACCCAGCAGTGGAAATTCTGCTGGAGAGAGGAGCTCCCATCTTAGCCAGAACCAAGGTAGTGTATGGCTGAGTCAGCATGCTCTAGAATCTTTTCTACCACTAATTAAATGTCTTGAGTTTTGAATTTTGCTAAAGCATGCAGTTATTTAATCCAAAAACTTCAGGCTTTCAGTAGTATTTTACTTTTCAAATTTTTTCTGACCTCCCTCCCCATGTGTCATCGCTGTTGTCCTCACACAGAACGGACTGTCCCCACTGCATATGTCGGCCCAAGGAGACCACGTAGAGTGTGTTAAACTCCTGCTGCAGCACAAGGCGCCTGTTGATGATGTCACATTGGACTACCTCACAGCGCTGCACGTCGCCGCTCACTGTGGCCACTACAGAGTCACCAAGCTTCTGCTGGACAAGAAGGCCAATCCCAATGTCAGAGCACTGGTATGGATTCACAGAACAAACAACTACACAGACACATACAAATATAAGCCCATGCAGATATACACAAGAACATAACCATGTTCAGACAGGAAGAGTTAGCAGAAGATAATATAGTGTGTGGAGTGAGTGCTTTTTATTCCTATAAAACCTGTTAAAACAAATTAAATATAGCAAAACAGCACAATTTTCTTTAATAAGACATTAATTTTTAGAATTTATTCACCAATATAATTTAGATTGTACAATATAGATCACAACTACATTTCCTCCTCCAGATGTATGTAGATATAGTCATTATCTGTTTATTTCTCTGTCGCTCTCTCTACCAGAACGGTTTTACTCCTCTCCATATTGCTTGTAAGAAGAACAGAGTGAAGGTGATGGAACTGTTGGTCAAATATGGAGCCTCCATTCAGGCCATTACTGAGGTGAGACACTTTGTGGGAATGTGTCAGTATGAACACAATAACCTTTATTGAATAGATTTTTGCATTTTATGCTCATCTTACTGACTCTGTCGCTGTCTCCTTCTTTTTCTAGTCTGGTCTGACGCCCATCCATGTATCTGCCTTCATGGGCCACCTCAACATTGTTTTACTTCTGCTACAGAATGGAGCATCTCCTGACGTCCGTAACATTGTGAGTTTTCACAAATAATCAGTTCATCTATATCTCACAGAAATACATGTGGCAGAAAGTAAACAGCATTTTTCAACCATCAGTTTTTGAACTACTGAGCAGGTATTCTTCGTTCTGTCTTTGCATATCAGCGTGGTGAGACAGCCCTCCACATGGCAGCACGAGCAGGTCAGATGGAAGTGGTTCGCTGTTTGCTGAGGAACGGAGCGTTGGTGGATGCCATGGCCAGGGTGAGTCAGCTGTGGCCTCATCAGAGTTAATCACGGTTTCCTTCTGTTTATCATAAATAGGCATATGTCATCCACTGGCTTGCAGACACATACTCGTGGGTCTTGCCTGCCTTAGCTCTGGCTACTGTGTCTCTATTTTTTATAATTCCATTGCCTGTCTCTCTGGTCCTTTTGTTTCTCTCCCATATTACTCACTCTCATATTTGTACAACCTGTTCATCCCTCAACCACAGGAGGACCAGACTCCCCTCCACATTGCTTCCCGTTTGGGGAAAACTGATATTGTCCAGTTGCTGCTGCAGCACATGGCTCATCCAGATGCTGCCACCACCAACGGCTACACTCCCCTCCACATTTCAGCCAGGGAGGGCCAGGTAGAGACTGCTGCCGTGCTGCTGGAAGCCGGAGCCTCACATTCACTGGCCACAAAGGTAAGCAGAAGATAGAACATGATGCAAACAGACAGAGACTGACAAAAACCTTATCAAACACACAGATTCGAGAATCTTCAGTAGGCATTAAGAGTTTGGACATCCCTTTTTCCCTCTACAGAAAGGATTCACTCCATTACATGTAGCAGCTAAATATGGAAGCCTCGATGTAGCACAACTTCTCCTTCAACGCAAAGCTCTCACTGATGATGCTGGCAAGGTGAACTGACAGTCAGGATTATTTCTACACATTTGAATACTGAAATATAGTCAGATTCTGTGAACTGTATCATTCAGGGCCTGAAGAGAATGAATTTGTGTCTCTAGATTAGACTCATTATAGAATAGAATAGATCTGTTGTAAGCAGAAGGACAAAACACAATAAAATCACAAATGTACACTGTTCCATTACAGAAATATCAATCAAATGTTTCCTCTTACAGAATGGCCTAACTCCACTACATGTGGCATCTCATTATGACAACCAAGACGTAGCTCTGCTGCTGCTGGATAAAGGGGCCTCGCCTCATGCTACTGCAAAGGTTGGACAAAGGATTTTAAAGAAGAAAAATTACGTCACAGTTTGTATGTGCTGCTTTGTGGTGTAGCAGTTATTTTGTGATCAAGCACTGCAGTTTACTTTTTGGATGAACACTTTTCCTCAGCTTACTGCAAGATTATTTCTTATTTCAAAAAGAGGATTTTACATTATAATAGTGATGGCATACTAGAGAGTGACACTAAGAAGCTGATACCAAAACCTGAGATATTCTTGATGTTTTAGATTTTAGCTGAATTGGGGAAAAAACCCAACTGTCTGTTTTTTTCAGCCACTGTTCAAAATGTATCAGGTGAATCTTACCCATATACTGTAAAGTGATATTTTTATAGGATGCCACTGTTCACCTTCCTCCCTTTCCAGAATGGCTACACTCCTCTTCACATTGCAGCCAAAAAGAACCAGACAAACATTGCATTAGCGCTGCTGCAGTATGGAGCAGAGACCAACATTCTCACCAAGCAGGGAGTCAGCCCTCTACACCTGGCAGCCCAGGAAGGACACGCTGAGATGGCCAGCCTGCTCCTGGGCAAAGGAGCTCACGTCAACGCAGTCACAAAGGTCACACAAAAACACAGACATGTCCTAATACTTACATACCTAAAATACCTAATACTACCTAATACTTACAGACACACTGTGTTGATACCAATTAGACACAACATCTATTCCTAAGGGTGCAGGTAGAACAATTAGTTCTTACATTTTCTGCAAGATTAGGGACAATCTTTTGTTTTTAATCCTGCAACCATCCAGATGATTCAGATATGCAACAGGGATTGAGTTATCGGTCCATGTTTTTCTGTCGTGCCTCACATAACACTGTGTATAATTTACAAATCAAGTGTTTAACTCTGTGCTTTGTATGTTACAGAGCGGACTGACCCCTCTGCATCTTGCAGCCCAAGAAGACAGGGTGAATGCAGCAGAAGTACTGGCCAAACATGATGCCAACTTGGATCAGCAAACTAAGGTACAAACGCACACATACACACACATGAATGTACACCCAAACACAGTAAAAGGCACATACAGACAGAAATGAACCACTAATTATGTAAATGTAGAGACAAGGATTGTTTTTAATTCTGTGGAGAAGTCATGGAATTATACACACGGATTAATTCATAGGGGTTCCCTGGGTGAATTATATAACTTACATTCACTGCAGGCGGTGTCCTTTACCAGTAAAGAATGTCCCAACCAGTAAATCACATAAAGATACATTACATATAAATACAGCATATCTGCCACCTACTGGCTTTAGGGGAGCATGGCAAAGCTTCTTCACAAACTGTTTTTTAATCTCTATCACCTCTTCATCCTCTCTATACCTCAGCTTGGATACACTCCTCTAATAGTGGCCTGTCACTATGGAAATGCAAAGATTGTCAACTTCCTGTTACAACAAGGTGCCAGCGTCAATGCCAAAACCAAGGTAAAATTCAAATGTCAATCTTCAAGTGTAGAAACTCTGATCACTTTAAACTCCAAGAATAAGCACAAGACAAAATACAGTTAATGTTATTTTAGTTTTAAATTTAATTTCCTTTCTTTCATTCTACAGAATGGATACACACCTCTTCACCAGGCAGCACAACAAGGGAACACACACATCATCAATGTGTTGCTACAGCATGGCGCCAAGCCCAATGCTACCACAGTGGTAAGAAAAAAAACATTGATTTACTCTACTTTTATTAATAAGCAAAAAAAAAGTAAGGAAAGAGTATTGTCACTTTTATGTCTCATGAGAACTGAATATCTGTCTTTCTCTTAGAATGGAAACACGGCTCTGTCTATTGCCAGACGTCTGGGTTACATCTCTGTAGTGGACACACTGAAAGTTGTCACAGAGGAGGTCATCACTACCACAACGGTAAGCTTGTGATAACAGTAGGTTTTGTCCGTAATTTTCCCAGAATACCCAATTAACCGTTCTATATTTTGGTTGTCTTTTTCCATGACTGGGAATGGGGGGGTCACATCAGACGGTCACAGAGAAACACAAGCTCAATGTGCCTGAGACCATGACTGAGATCCTCGATGTGTCTGATGAAGAAGGTGAGTTCACTCAAACAGACAAAGCAAAAAAAAAGATTAATTGACCTTTAAATAAAAACTGTTAGCTCAGTTTCACCTTGTTCAGTACCCATGAAGAGCTGTGTATTGTGGGTGATGTAGTTGTAGCTGAGGGTCTTAAACCTGTATGTTTCATAGCTTTGAGGCTGGAAGACGAGCCATTGTCTGAGATGTCTGTGGAGCTGGAAGGTACTGCAGAATGTCTGGCCGGCTCTGCCAGCTTGGACTATATTTGTGTTCCTGTCACTAATCAGTGTGATCATATTGGTTGTGATGATGCATTTCCTTTGCTAAAACAAAGAATTTTGAGAATGTTTTACTCTCAAATTTGTAATGCCCAAGTCTTCTGTCTCTAGAGTCTATGCAGTTAATATGACTGACAGTTGTTGTTTCTATGCCTGATTTTGCATAAGCTGACCTTCTTTAATCTAACAGCTTGTTGTTTATAGGGTGTAATCAGAACTTTGATGATTGTGAGTTCATGCAGTGGTGAAAACTCCTGCATGAAGTGTGCGGGACTATGGCTATGATCGTGACACTTACAGTGATTATGGATGAGTGAGGAATGCACTGATTCAGTAATGCTGGTTACAGTAATGCATTTTCCGCAATGCCTACAGAACCAAAGCAATTTACAAGCACTGCTCAGATGCAATGTCACATTCACAAATGATTATCGCTCACAAATTGCAGATACATTTGTGAGGCTCTCACATGCTCATGCATGTGCCCCCAAGTTTGGTGTTTGTTCTCATAAATGAACCATGTCAAAATGAGCAAGAAGAAAATGATCTCATGTTTCAAATCACAACTAGTATGTTGAAAATTTTGTGTAACAGCACAGAGACTGGAAATTCTCACGTGGTTCAATGACCTGCGATAGAAAGGACAAGCAGTGGCATTGTGCACATGTTTAAATAGATACAGCCATAAAAGTTCCAGCACTTCCTGGCCAGGTGGACATACAGCAGTTTTAGTTTCTCATAGAAAATTACCTTTTTTATTCAATTTCTCAAATGGCACATTTTGTTTTTCCAGGTGAGGACACTATGACAGGTGATGGAGGAGAGTATCTGAGAGCAGAGGATCTAAGAGAACTGGGAGACGACTCTCTGCCAGGACACTACCTGGATGGCTTCAGCTACATGAGCCACAACCTAGACAGGTCAGCACATGTGTATTTATTCCTTCACCCACTACTGTTGAACAACCTGCCTTGATGCAAACATACAAACAGACGGATACATACAAAAGACGATCCAACTTGTTTTTTTAACAGGCCGCAGCACACTCCCATTCACCAAAGTTTCCATCAGAGAGAGGGAGTTCTCATCGAAGAGGTGCTTACAAGTCACCAGGTGAGAACAAAGTGGACAAAAAGTGTATGGTTGTCACTGTTGATTTTACTTGAATTTTAATTTTAGTATTTCCAAAATGTTGTTAAAATTCTCTTTAAATTCATAATTTCATAATAATAACTTGTGTTTTCATTTTTTGTGAAGCCCTTTGTAACATTGGTTTTATTAAAAGTGCTCTATAAATAAAGATTATTAATACTATTATTAATTTGGTTTGGCTATCTAAGATAACCTTACCTAAGGTATTTTTAGTTTATAATATTTGAGAATGTTGAATGTCTTGTGGGACCTGCTGATGTTTGTTGCTCTGTAGGTATCAGCGCTGTCTAGAGAGCATGAAAAGGACTCATTCCGTCTGAGCTGGGGTGCTGAGCACCTTGATAATGTGGTCCTGTCCTCCAGTCTGCTACACTCTGGGTACACACACACACACACACACACCCACACACAAACACGCACTCACACAAACACACACACACACACACACACACACACACACACACACACATTCTCACTGTTTCCTGGTGTAAGAGTCTTTCACTTGCTTTTATTCACTATCAGGTGTGTATGAGTCACATCTGGATCAGTTTTAATTTTTCACTCCTTCACGTCTGTATTTTCTACTCTGTCATTCTTTTATCTTTTGCTTCTGTGTCTTTTTCTGTCTCTGGACAGGTTTTTCTTACATTTACCTATTCTTTATTCTCTTTTTATCTATTTGTGTATGCTCTTGTTGCTTCTTTGTGCACTCTCTTGTCTTGGCTGTGTTTGTGATTGTTTGTGTATGTGTGTCGTTGTATTCTGCTTCTAGCCGTTCCTCTCCATGCCTAGACCATGACAACAGCAGGTGATACTCTTTATTTTGGCTTTCTTTTTTACCCTTTCTTCTCTCCTCTGTGCCCTAGCGTTTTTTCTCATTCACTATTAAATGATCTTCTCATTCCCATCCTATTTGTCTGCATGATTTCATAATGCATGATTTTACATTTCCAGGGTTCAGGTTTTGTTAACTACAGATTTTTCAACCAAGTTATTTCATCCTTGATGCAGATTTTGACTCCCCTTAATATCAAACATCTGCTGATACATAGATCCAATAAACCACTGATACCTATTTGCTCCTTGACACATGAAACCCTCCAGAAAGAATCTTGTTCAGTGCCCTCCCCTTTGCTTGCCTGGCTTGCAAATTAAAGATAGAGTGGAATGAAACTGGAGAGGATTGAAAGAGAACAGACTCGAATAAAATATTATCTGCTGAGATGTGCTTGTTGCTATATCAGTACTGAATGGTATCATAAAAAAATGCTTCCTAACTGTAATGCCAGTTGCTTTGTCTGCATGGATGCTCACAGTGAACATACCTAACATCAGAAATATTGCATTTAATAACAACCAGTTAATTAACTATTAATTTGATTTCTTGCCTGACCCTTTTCTTCAGCTTCCTGGTCAGCTTCATGGTAGATGCCAGGGGCGGGGCCATGCGCGGTTGCCGTCACAATGGCCTGCGAATCATCGTACCACCACGAAAGTGTTCTGCACCCACACGGGTGACATGCAGGCTGGTGAAGAGACACCGTCTGGCCTCTATGCCTCCTATGGTGGAGGGCGAGGGGCTGGCTGGTCGCATCATAGAAGTGGGACCCACTGGAGCCCAGTTCCTGGGGTAAGTGTGTGTTTGAGTGTGTGTGTGTGTGTGTGTGTGTGTGTGTGTGTGTGTGTGTGTGTGTGTGTGTGTGTGTGTGTGTGTACCATATGTGTGTTTGAATTTGTGTGTATTTGCTTGTGGGAGTGTGTTTACACTGTTGTCTGGTGTGTTCATATTTTCTTCTTCACTCCCCCTCTGTGCTGCGTATGGATCAGTAAGCTCCACCTTCCCACAGCTCCGCCCCCTCTAAATGAGGGTGAGAGCCTGGTCAGTCGCATCCTGCAGCTGGGTCCTCCAGGAACAAAGTTCCTCGGGTAGGACCTTGGTTGGGGTACACCCTACCATCCTGGAAGTGGTCACATAATCACCCATATTTTCTCACCCTGTCCACCTGACTTTTTATTTTTATTTTTTTACTTTACTTCCTTTGCTTCTTGGTACTATATAAGTGCAAGCCTTAGTCTGAAACCACCTGACTTGTTGCCTTGTGATTGAGTTATCCCCTTGCTTTCCTCAGTTTATAGTACCAATCCCAAGACTTGTTTGTAGTTGAATTCTGCTCCTGATGTGGAATGGATGTTCTCTATATGTTTAAACATTTTTTAAAGGACTTTTCCATGAATATTTTGTTGGGCATGAAAATTAGATATTTAAAAACTCAAATTTGAATCTTGTGTTCTTTTGTTCTGTTTGTTTCTTTTTTATATAAAGTCATACATAAATCAACCAAACATCACATACTTTTAAGTTCAATTTGTGTTTCACTTTACCTTATCACTCCTTTTAGGCCTGTGATTGTGGAGATACCCCATTTTGCAGCTCTGCGGGGCACAGAGAGAGAGTTAGTGATCTTGAGGAGTGAAACAGGGGAGAGCTGGAGGGAACACCACTGTGACTTCACTGAAGAGGAACTGAACCAGATACTTAACGGAATGGATGAAAGTAAGCAGCTAGACTGATGCAAAACAAGGGTTTTTGATACAAAAAACACATAACGGTACAGAAACTTTAAGCCACAATATGATCACATTAAGCCATCAAACAGGCCACAGTACTGTAGACTGGTGAAACAGAACAAAGCTGCCTTTTAGATTACACTGTTGAGATAATAATGGGAAGCAAAAAGTAGGGGTAATGAATGATGGAGGAACACCACTACCTCCACTTTCCAGACTTCACACAATTAACTGCTCTTATGGTATTTATACTGAATGTTTCTGATCTTCATAGAACTTGATTCCCCTGAGGAGCTTGAGAAGAAAAGAATATGCCGCATCATCACGCGAGACTTCCCACAGTATTTTGCAGTGGTGTCACGGATAAAGCAGGACAGTCATTTGATTGGACCAGAGGGCGGGGTCCTCAGTAGTACTCTTGTGCCTCAGGTCCAGGCTGTCTTCCCTGAAGGTGCCCTCACCAAGAAGATCAGAGTTGGGCTACAGGTACATACAGTGCATTTTTTGGCCAGACACAAATCTATGAATTGTTCAAAGCTAAGGCAACCAATAAAGTTATGTTAATACATTTTATACCTTGTTCTAGGCTCAGCCCATTGATGTAGAGGTGGTGAGAAAGATTCTTGGTATGAAAGCCACATTCAGCTCAATTGTCACATTGGAGCCAAGAAGGAGGAAGTTCCACAAACCGATCACCATGACAATCCCTATCCCCAAGAGCTCCAACAGTGATGGGCCAAGCACAGAGTTCATTGGGGAGACCCCCACCTTACGTTTGCTTTGCAGCATTACAGGTATGTTTGGGGAATAATCATCATTATCAATATCAGCAAACAATGAAAATACAGCTCATTATCAGCTACCATTAGATATTTGTCGTAATGTAAGATAGTCAAAACTAACACTTACAATCCTCTGTAACATAATGTTATCTATTCAATGAAACATGTTATATTACATCTTATGAGAAGCCAATGCAGCTTTTTTGTAGAGAAATCCTGTCATAATTTGTATTTTCTTTTAAATTTAAAAAATAATCATGACAGGTTACGTAATAAATCATGGGTCTGTGTTTCAGGTGGAACCACTCCTGCCCAATGGGAGGACATCACTGGCTCTACACCTCTCACCTTTGTTAACCAATGTGTTTCATTCACTACAAATGTGTCAGCGAGGTAAATTAGCATTGAAATCATATGTCCATCACAAAAAACATATTTTTTCTGATGTACTCCTTTGCTTTATTTAGGTAATTGTACATTATACCATGAGTTCCATGAGTACTGCATACTGTGTAACTACGAGGTGATATCAGTAACTGACTTAAAGTCTTATTCTTATTCCTAGGTTCTGGCTGATAGACTGCAGACAGATCCAGGAGTCTGTTAGTTTTGCCTCTCAGCTGTACAGAGAGATCATCTGTGTTCCATACATGGCCAAATTTGTCATTTTTGCTAAAACACTGGACCCCATTGAGGCCCGCCTACGCTGTTTCTGCATGACAGACGACAAGATGGACAAGACCCTAGAGCAGCAAGAGAACTTCACTGAAGTTGCCCGTAGTCGAGATGTTGAGGTGTGTGATCATGGGGAATAAATAAGATTACAAGATTAGAATAAAATAGAAGCTTATGGAGAATGTATAATGGGAAGTGAATGGAAATTAAAAGTGAAGTTGGTGAAGTAGTTGAAGCAGATACCTTACGCAACTCTAGAAAGAGGTTAACACAGCCTGCCAACTGGTTATTATTAATACAATTCATGTTCTTAACAAATCTGACAATACTGTTTTCCAAGATTTGAGATAGACCTTTATAGTTTGTTTATATCATGAAAACAGCTCTTATATCCATACACAGGTGCTAGAGGGAAAACCTATATTTGCTGACTGCTTTGGAAACCTGGTGCCTCTCACCAAGAGTGGACAGCACCATGTGTTCAGCTTCTTTGCCTTCAAGGAAAACCGACTAGCTCTCTTCATCAAAGTATGACTACACATTGGATAAAAATGTCTGACATTTCTAATTCAGAAATTCAGATGTGTGTAATTAATGGACTGAATTGTTGTTTAATTAATGGACAGATTAGAGACACAGCACAGGAGCCATGTGGTCGCCTGTCCTTCACCAAGGAGCCACGCACGTACCGTAGTCTTACCCACAATGCTATCTGCAACCTTAACATCACTCTCCCAACATACTCAAAGGTTAGTTTGAATATAATAATAGTAAATTAATTTTAGCTGCAGTAACTGCATTATTTGCTTTCATTCTTTTATGCTTCTCTTTAGGAGTCTGATTCAGACCAAGATGCAGATGATGAGGTAAATAAAGTTTACTTGATACAGTACTAAAACAAAGAAAGAATAATATAATCAGGTTGTAGCTAACTGCTGTCTTGTTTGCCTTTTTTGCAGAGTGAGAAGAGTGACAAGAAATGTAAGTCAAACTCTGTTGTTTTGCAATATTTGTGTCTCATGTTAGAGTGTAACCTTTAAAAGTTTTTAGAATAATTTTAGAAATATGTTCATACATTTGAGAAATGTTACAATCCATTTTTCAGTGGTCAGTGTTGGCACTGAGGGTACCAGAGTATAATTTTTTAAAAATTATATATTGAGTTCAACATAAGAGTAACGGTCATTAATGTTATAAAGTAAATTAGTTAGTTTAGATCTGTATGTGCTATAAGATGCACTGATTGATTTATTACTTTCCATTTGGATTAACCCTGCTCTTTTATTTTGCTCTACTAACACTGTGTATAGTCACATGTTTGTTACTGGCAGCTATGCTATGGCTGATGTACTCTGCATTCCCCTCACTTCACACTGACTTTCTCCCACCCATATCATTTAAATTGTCTGTAATTGACCCTTTGTTTTGTTTTTTAATGAATCATGAGTGAAGGTCAAAATAATACTTTTCATTCAAGTAAACTCAAAATTGCTTTGATTTTTTAAAAAAAAAAAAATAATATATATATAATTTTTTACCAATTATCTTCTTAGATGACATTCCTGTAACAGATTATAGTAGCATGCTGAACGAACAACATCATGTTGTTTGTTCTTTGTTGAAAGTTATTTTTATATTATTTTTATTATTATCCTTTATTTATATGAATTTGGCCACTGCTTTTTAAAGTCAACTTCCTAAGTTGCTTTCATTCATTCATTTGGTTGCACTACAAATCTTTTTTTTTTTTTTCATCACTACTTTTTTCTGTATGTGAACTAATAGTGCTATAAGGTCACAAAACACAGTGAATCACTATATAACAACATTTACAAATCTAACCTGCAGGGATTTGATACCATGGAAAATGTACATATCTAAAGAAAAAGTGCTACTTTTTCATTAATTATAATGAAAAAATAAAATGAAGAATTTACTTATATATGATGTAATTTCTCAAAGTTAAGTGAAGGGAGTAAGTATTTTACATTGCTTACAAATACTAAGCACTGTCAAAATTTAAAACAGACTCAAAAAATCTATTACCAATGACCTGATACCTTACATTAATAACTTACCTCACATCTCCTCTTACTTAAAACCCTCCATTAATTTTGTTATTAAAAGTTTATGTTTTATATATTTTAAAACTTTAATTTGTAGGCAGACATGACTCTTCATGTCAGCAACAATCTTGAGAAGTTTTGTTTGTCTGTTTCACTTCTTTTCTGTCCTTTGTTTCATATGTAGGTTCCTCTGTTCCCCTTGTTTTTTATATATATTTTGTGTTAAATTTTTGAATATGTCATCAAACAAATTAGATAAATATTATTCTTGTCCATATTCTACCTGTTTTGTTACTCCTCCTGGCTTTGCTTTTGCTGTTGCTGCTCTACTCTCCTCCAAACTCTTCTGGATCACTTTGTCATCTTCTTTTTGGTCTTCTTTTCAAGACTCCCTTATCTTCTGCCCTGTCATTCTTCTCCTTGCTCTGTGAACTGAAGATGGATTTTTGATGGCATTGTCTTGATCACAGTTTTCTGATGTCTCTCTTCCCCACTTTATTTGTCCCTTATGTTCTTTACCCCCTTTTTGGTTTAAATGAAACTTTTTTAAATTGAAGACGATGAATCTGAATCAACTGAGACATTCTCCCTGAGAACTAACCAACCTCTTGACCCTGCAACCCTCGCAAGCCCGGACCTGCTTTCAGACATGTCAGACATCAAAATATCTGCTTTTTTGCTTGCAGAGCAATATGAAGAGAGAGCTGGAGCTAGAGGGCTAGGGGAAAAAGTGCTAGATGCTAAAAAAGAGAAATGGGATTCACTCTATGGGACAAAGACTGTTGAAATAAAGTGTTCCCCTGTCGAAGAACCAGTCTTTAAGGAGATTTGCGTTGACAGGCAGACTTCAAGTAGATCTGCCACTGAGGTCAGAGACATGACAGGCATAGTCTCACACCTCAGCATGGACATGGACCAGTACCTGGAACAGAGACCTGTAGTGACATATGGTTCTCAAGAAGACCTTGTTCAAGATAGATTTGAGCAGGTTGTTGTAAAGCGTGATGGCAAACGGCGTCCCCCAGATATCAAGAAACCTATTAGGAAGAAACTTAGAGACAGAGAGCGTTCTGGATGCAGCAGCTCTGAGGGTGAGCTGGAGAGGATGAGCTCTGAGGAGTCCTTAGATGGTGACGCTATTCTTAAGGAGAATGCCCTTGTACCCTGCACCACAGTTATGGATCCTCCAGCTTCTCCCTTAGTGGTAGAAGAACCTATTGGGTCTATAAAGGACAAAGTTAAAGCTTTACAGACCAAAGTCAAAGAGGAGGAGGTACAAGAACTAATTCCTCAGGCAAAATCTTCTATCGCCACAAAGAAGACTGAGGCAGACATGCCAGAACTTCCCAGAGTTCCCAAGTCTCCTAAATCCCCCAGATCTCAGACAGAAAGATTAGAGGAGACTATGTCTGTTAAGGATCTGCTGAAAGCATTCCAGACTGGACAGGACCCTTCAAAAAATAAAGCTGGACTTTTTGAACACAAAGCAGTGGCTTCTTCTTGTATTGCAACATTGATATCTGGATCAGGAAATTCTGAAGAGATACAGAAAACTAAACAGAGCTCTAAGCAGGAGCCAAAATACCAAACCCAAACCCAGGACCACACAATTTTTTATCAACAGAGTGATGTTAAGAAACGTGACAAAACAGACTTAGATGAACTATCTGTAACCTTAATTAAAGAAAACGAAGAGGAACCACTGTCAATTTCAGATAGTGCGAACATTGAAAAGACAGTAAATTTTGCTAATACAATTCAGTGTGACATTAGAAGCCTTAGCCCACAGGGAGAAGCACCAGGGTTGTCACAGAAGGAGACTATGTCTGTGAAGGAGCTGATGAAATCATTCCAGACTGGGCATGATCCCTCAAAAACAAAACCAGAGCTTTTTGAACACAAAGCCAGAGCTTCTTGTGTTTCAACATTGATATCTGAATCAGGAGATTCTGAAGAGATACAGAAGGACGAACAAAGTCCTACACAGGAGCCAAAATCACTCATCCAGACTCAGAACCTTACAATTTTCCACCAACAGAGTGATGTCAAGAAATGTGACAAAACAGACTTAGAAGAACGATCAGTTAGGTTAATCAGAGATAGCTCAGAGGAATCATTGTTCATTTCAGATAGTGCTTATGTTGGAAAGACAGTCAAATTTGCTGATACAATTCAACCTGACAATGGAAGTATTAGCCATCAGAGAGAGGAGTCAGAGTTGTCAGATAAAGAGACTACTTCTGTGAATGAGCTGATGAAAGCATTCCAGACTGGCCAGGACCTTTCACAAAATGAAGCTGGGCTTTTTGAGCACAAAGCAGAGGCTTCTTCTGGTATTTCAACATTGATATCTGAATCAGGAAATTCTGAAGAGATACAGAAAACTGAACAGAGCCCTACGCAGGAACCAAAATCACAAACCCAAACTCAGGACCACACAATTTTTTATCAACAGAGTGATGTCAAGAAACTTGACGAAACAGACTTAGATGAACAGTCTGTAACCTTAGTTAAAGATAACGAAGAGGAACCTCAGTTAATTTCAGATAGTGCATACATTGAAAAGACAGTAAATTTTGCTGATACAATTCAGTGTGACAATGGAAGCCTTAGCTCACAGGAAGAAGCACCAGGGTTGTCACAGAAGGAGACTATGTCTGTGAAGGAGCTGATGAAATCATTCCAGCCTGGGCATGATCCCTCAAAAACAGAACCAGAGCTTTTTGAACATAGAGCCAGAGCTTCTTATGTTTCAACATTGATATCTGAATCAGAAGATTCTGTAGAGATACAGATGGACGAACAAATTCAGACACAAGAGCCAAAATCACACATCCAAACTCAGAACCTCACGATTTTCCACCAACAGAGTGATGTCAAGAAATGTGACAAAACAGACTTAGAAAAACAATCAGTTAGGTTAATCAGAGATAGCTCAGAGGAATCACTGTTAATTTCAGATAGTTCTTATGTTGGGAAGACAGTCAAATTTGCTGATACAGTTCAACCTGACGATAGAAGTGTTAGCCCACAGAGAGAGGAGCCAGAGTTGTCAAAGAAAGAGACTACTTCTGTGAAGGAGCTGATGAAAGCATTCCAGACTGGACAGGACCCTTCACAAAGTGAAGCTGGGCTTTTTGAACACAAAGCAGAGGCTTCTTCTTGTATTTCAACACTGATATCTGAATCAGGAAATTCTGAAGAGATACAGAAAACTGAACAGAGCCCAACGCAGGAACCAAAATCACAAACCCAAACTCAGGACCACACAATTTTTTATCAACAGAGTGATGTCAAGAAACGTGATGAAACAGACTTAGATGAACTATCTGTAACCTTAATTAAAGATAACGAAGAGGAACCACAGTTAATTTCAGGTAGTGTGTACATTGAAAAGACAGTACATTTTGCTGATACAATTCAATGTGACAGTGGAAGCCTTAGCCCACAGGGAGAAGCACCAGGGTTGTCACAGAAGGAGACTATGTCTGTGAAGGAGCTGATGAAATCATTCCAGCCTGGGCATGATCCCTCAAAAACAAAACCAGAGCTTTTTGAACACAGAGCCAGAGCTCCTTATGTTTCAACATTGATATCTGAATCAGAAGATTCTCTAGAGATACAGATGGACGAACAAATTCCGACACAAGAGCCAAAATCACACATCCAAACTCAGAACCTCACAATTTTCCACCAACAGAGTGATGTCAAGAAATGTGACAAAACAGACTTAGAAAAACAATCAGTAAGGTTAATCAGAGATAGCTCAGAGGAATCACTGTTAATTTCAGATAGTTCTTATGTTGGGAAGACAGTCAAATTTGCTGATACAATTCAACCTGACGATGGAAGTGTTAGCCCACAGAGAGAGGAGTCAGAGTTGTCAGAGTTGTCAGAGAAAGAGACTACTTCTGT